GACTTTGACTCAGGTCATGATCTCATGGTTCGTGAGTTTGAGCCTCACATCGGGCCCTCTGCTGTCGGCAAAGACCCTGCTTCAGATTCCCTGTCCCCCTCTCTCTGCCCCTTTCCTGCTTGCTCTCTCTCTCAAAACTAAATCAACACTAAAAAAAATGAAAAAAAAGTATTAAAAAAATGCTGGAGGGTCTTGACAGATGATGCACCTTCACGCTTTCTGTGGAACCTCCTCTTGCCCCTCGAATCTGTGTCCACGTCTTATCCTAGACTGTCTCCTCCCCTTGGCGCCCTTCAGCCCAGCACAGTGGTTGGTCAGGAGAACCAGGCTGTTGAACTGAACTCAAGGGGACACAGGGAACGGATGGTATGTCCCAGGTGGCATTTCTTCTCCCCTCGTCCCTCAGGTCTCCAGACGATGGCTTACCAGTTCCTGCGGGGGAACGTCACAGGGAAGAATCCAACCAGCGTCGGAATCCAACGCATTTACTACATGGCAAGTACCGCCCGAGCAGCTTTTAGGTTACTGGATTGGATTTGAACCCCACGAGGATTTGAAACCCCACACGCTTCGGAGGTGGGGAAGTTGAAGCTTCTAAGTGAGTCACGTGAGCTCATGCCAGTGCTAAGTGACAGGGCGGGAGCAGGACCCTGCATTTCTGTCGCAGCGCCTGTCCTGTCTCACCCGGGGACGCAGCGCCTCTGGTTTGGGAGTTCAGAAGACTGAGGCTGGTGGGGGGCCTCCTCGCGTGTGGGAAAGCCCCTCCAGATGAAAGCAGAGCCGCTGTCTGGAGGGAAATCTGTTCTGACTCTTCCTGGGGCATTTACAAGGCTGCCGGCTGTCCAGTTGACCAACATCATTGCCGGGAGGCTGGAGGCCAAGGGACAGCCCAGAAAGCACTGCTCAGTCAGACCGAGAGCAGGGCCGGGGCTCAAACCCAGAGCCGCCTCCCTCCTGTTGTCAGGATGTTGACTGGACTTTCCTCACAGCCCACGAGTTACTGGTTCACACCAGCCATTTGTTCTACCACAGACCAGACAGAATCCCTCACGTTGACTAAAAAAGTGGTTTCAGAAAATGACTTTCGGGGCCCCTGGCTGGCTCGGTCAGAAGAGCATGCAACTCTTGATCTTGGGGTCGTGAGTTCGAGCCCCACTTTGGGGGCAGAGATGACTTAAACAAATAAATAAACTTAAAAAAAAAAAAAAGAAAGGAAATAACTTTTTTTTTTTTTCCTCCTCAGGCAAGAAACAAAGACCACACAAGATCGTTTCCTAGCTGTGTCATCTGACAGAAGATACACAGCTTGCTGGGGAAACAAGGGAAAAAACCCAAACTCAGATGAGCGCCAAACAATTTCATCCTCAATAAACTGGATTTGCTGAGAAATACAGACTGACAGAGACAAAAAGAGAGACACTGAAGAGGGGTGGAGCCAGATGAAGAGGGAGGACAGAGGAAGGGGTGCCAACTCCAGAAGGGACCGCACTCTTCTCCTTCTTCCTTTTTTGCTCGCCTCAAAGACGTCTGAGATTGTCTGGGGTTTCTTAAAAAGTTAAACATGTGACTAAACATGTAGAAGTTAAGCACGTTACCATGTGACTAAACAATTCTACTCGGGGGAAGTGAAAACCTATGACCACGCAAAGAATCGTACACGGATGTTTACAACATCAGTATTCCTGACAGCCCCAAACCAGAAACATTTCAAATGCTCAACCACTGGAACGCCGGGGTGGCTCAGTCGGTTAAGCATTCGACTTCTGCTCAGGTCATGATCTCACGGTTCGGGGGTTCAAGTCCCACGTCGGGCTCTGTGCCGACAGCTCGGAGCCTGGAACCTGCTTCGGATTCTGTGTCTCCCTCTCTCTCTGCCCCTCCCCTGCCTGTGCGCGCTCTCGCTCTCTCTCTCTCTCTCTCTCAAAAATAAACAAACATTAAAAAAAATTTAAAACAAGATGTTCTGTACGGTGTACAAACCTGGGGTACATCTAAACCAAGGGTACAAAGGAAAAGGCCACAGTGTTCATCACAAGGATTGAGAATATGGAAATATTCCAAGACCATTGGTGTTAGGGTTGGGTTAGCACAGGCCTGCTCAGAAAGTCCCAGAATATTAAAATCAGCTTAAAGAGAAATTTAATGTAAAAGCTTTACATGGCAGGTAATAAAGGCACTGCTCTTATTATTTTCAGAGGCAGCAGCCACATAGAGTTAAGAAATCAGGAGTGCCAGGAGGTACGCATTTTAAAAATGGCATCATAGGGGCATCTGGGTGGCTCAGTTGGTTGAGCGTCGGACTTCAATTCAGGTCATGATCTCACGGTCTGTGAGTTCGAGCCCCACGTCGGGCTCTGTGCTGACAGCTCAGAGCCTGGAACCTGCTTCGGATTCTGTGTCTCCCTCTCTCTGTGCCCCTCCCCCACTCATGCTCTGTCTCCCTCTTTCTCAAAAATAAATGAACATTAAAAAAAATGGCATCACAGAAGGTGAAATGAATACCTCCCCAAGGTAGTGTGGAGAGCTGGATGGGACGTGCAGAGTCACAGGTGGTACAATTTATGTATCGAATTCTGGTTTTCCGGAACATGACATCCTGGACAAGGGATGTCACAGTGCTGTGGGAGAGATTCTCTCACACTGACAAGACAGAAAGAACACTGGCTTTGGACAGAGACAGACGAGATGGGAATCTGACTCCGCCTCCTGCTTAAGCCTCCAACGTTTTCATGTGTCAGGCGGGCTTACTGCTGCCTACCTGAGCGTGGTTCAGAAGACGGGGCGAACAGAATGGAAGCACACACTCCCGCGAGGAGATCCCACTCCACTGCCTGAGCCTTCTGGAGCCTCGACAGGTAGTACCTGCAACAGCGGAGGTGCGACTTACCAACATCCATAATGCTTCACAAGGAACCGTCTCACATTTCTTCCCGAAGCTCGTAAGTGGGCACAGTTCTGGAGTCTCATTTTCTAAGTTGTTGGTAACTAGCAGTGAAAGATAAAGAAATGATGACCTAAGTCTACGCAGCACCTCCTTCGCCCCATGGTGTCCCTCAACCATCAAATGCAGGACATCTACACAAAGATGCCGCAGAAAACAATCCTAAAGAAAGTTCTAGGTTCTGTTAGTCTCAACCCAGAGACGCCTCCTGCCAGCTGACTCAGCCGGAGCCGTGATTCTCCCTGGTGAATTCCACATTCCTCACTGGTGTCCATGAGAAGGGTAAAGGACACGATCATGGAGATGTATTGCAGATGAGCATCAGAAGTCTTTCCTTTCTTCCTCCCTTGACAGATGGCGCATCTTTTCTGTAAAGGACTTAAAACTCGGGTGGGCAAAAGGAAAAAGCGAACTCTTTCTCAAACGCTTACCACCCCGGCATGATCGATGAACATTTTGGTTTATGTTGTTCCGATTCTTTCCCGGGGGAACATGAATGAGCATGCGTTGGTGTGGGACGTGTGCAGAGGGTGCCTAGAAGCTGGCACCAGGCTACGCGGCTTCAGACCCTGTCTCTACCACCGTTTACAGCTGTGTGGCTGGGCAAACCGGGGAAGGCGATGGCACATTCCTTGGTCCTTGTGAGGGGCGAGCGCATTAAGTATGCGCAGAACCAGACATGGAATAGGTCAAGGGCTCAACCCATGAGAGCTACTGCCCCACGGCAGGACACGCCTGTTCTGGAAGGCCGTGATCTGTGTACGTGCACAGCACGCACGCTCATGCGTATGTGTGTCTGTGACGTGTGGTCAGGCCTGTGTCGTGTGCGTATGTGCAGTTGTTTTGTCTAAACACACAGAATGGGACCAAACTTAAGGTAATCTGCTTTCTTCGCCCACCAAACCACGAGAGCGTTTTCATGTACGGTCCTACGTCCCATTTTCGTGGCTACGTGATATCCTACTGCGCAGGGGTGCCCTACTATGTACCCTCTCCCGCTGCTGAGGCTTCAGGTCGTTCGCACAATGGTTTTGAGCTGCATTGATGGGCTACCTCGTTGACATCACAGAAACACAAAAGGAAGTCAAATGAGGATCAGAGGAGCAGCAGTCCAGTAGATCAAACCAAGACTATTTTCCATTCCTTTGAACCGCAAGTTAGTGAAGTGGCTTATTCGACCCACTCAAGTCTAGTTATGATTTAAATCAGAACCCAAAATTTAATACCTGCTCAACATTAAAAACAGTTAACGTCATTTGAATAAAATTTTATTTAACAAAAAGACAACATGATTCTTTCAAAATAAAAATCAGGAACACCTTTGAAGCTTCCATTTCGACTGTGCGGACTCATTGTGCGTGACCGTGTGGCCACCCTCATCACGCGTCCCCTGTGGCCCCTGCCAGCCACCGCGAGGCTGCCCGGAAAACCCCAGGAGAAAACACCCGTGCTAAATCTATTTTCCAATAGGACTTTCCAGGGAATGTTGGCATTACGCGAGGGATACGTGAGTTATGTGCAAGGCTGAAACTCCAAAGGGTCACAGTGTTTAGCCATCAGACACGGTCCAATCCCCAGTCTCGATCAGACAGGTCTGGCAGGGGATGACTGGAGGTCGGAGTAGCACTGATGAGCGGCCTGTCCACAAACTCCACGGTGCACAGTTCCGGGCCACTGTCATCACAGGGCGCGTGCTCCAGTTCCAGCACCATGATGGTGTTTGGGGCTGATGTTATCAGGATGTGCCGTGGCACAAACAAAGTCACCTGGGGGCCCCGCCCTGGCCAATATCGACCAAGGTTAAAGCCATTAATCCACACCTGACCCTGCAGAGACAGAAATATAAGAAAAGTGGTAAGAGAAAGTGGTCCAGGTTCATTTTTCTGCATGTCGCTGTCCAGTTTCCCCAGCACCGTTTGCTGAAGAGACTGTCTTTATTCCATTGGATATTCTTTCCTGCTTTGTCAAAGATTCGTTGGCCATACGTTTGCGGGTCCATTTCTAGGTTCTCTATCCTGTTCCACTGGTCTGATTGTCTGTTCTTGTGCCAGTCACATACTGTCTAGATGGTTACAGTTTTGTAATAAGCGTCCGACTCTTGATTTTGGCTCGGGTCATGATCTCACGGTTTCATGAGTTCGAACCCCATATCGGGCTCTGTGTTGACCCTGCAGAACCTGCTGGGGATTCTTTCTCTCTGTGTCCCTCCCCTGTTCGCACTCAAATAAATCAACTTAAAAAAATTATTAAAAAAAAAAAAAAAGGAGAGGGGCATTTGGGTGTGTCTACAGAGACCCCCTGCACGGGCTAGGGTTTGCTCATAGAGTAGGACTTAACAGTTGGCCGAATAAATGGAACATTCTATCACAGAGGAAGAGAGAGAGGGAAAGAGGGGAGAGCGAGAGAGGGACAGAGAGGGAGAATGAATGTATGGGAGATGAAAGAGCCACCTTGCAGGAGGTGCGGCCGTGGCGTCACCTGCCGAGCCCCGACCCCCCACATGCTGTGGCTGCTCACCTCAAATTACTCCGTTGCCCACTTTGGGGAATTTTCAGCCTCCAGGTGTCCCCTTTATCCTCACTCTGTCTGAATTTCCTACCCGGGTTCAAATCTCAGTCCTGCTCCTTCCTGGCTGCCCGAGCTCGGGCAGGTGCCGCTCACACTGGTGACCGGGGACAGTGGGAGGCAGCAGGCGCTGTCTGGCGGTCAGCACGGCGGCTGGCGCCGGGGCCAAGCCCAGGGAGGGACGGCGCTCCTCCCGCTACCGTAAAAAGATCTTGGCTTTCACATGCCTGCAAAGGGAAGCCAGTGATTGAAAACCACCTGTCTGTTGGGTTAAGTCATTTAGAGAAAGGATGACAGTTTTACAGTTCTCAGAATATTTTACTCTTGTTTTCACCGCAGGACGCGCTATCTCGATCCTTCCTACCAGGCATACGCAACGACAGCTTTATCGGGTTTTTATCAGGGTAAGATCTGCCGGTGCCTTGTTTTTGCAGTAGTAGAGAAGAGCAGGACTTTACTTTCGAGGCCGAGGAGGAGACGGGTTCAAGGGCAGAGCGGTGGGAGGGCGGCGAGAGCACACGGGCGTCACAATGTGTCCGGGCAGAGGCCACGCCAGCTCCCGGCTGAGTGACGAGGTGGACGACTGCAGGTCCGGTCCATTCTCCCACCCACGGTTTCCTTTCCTGAGAATCCAAGGGACCGCCCCTCACGTCTCTGGTGCCGGATGGGCGTGTCTGCCTGAAAGCCGGGAACGGTTTCCCCGGATGCCCTTTGCCAGCGGGTTCTGGGCTAAAGCTGAGGCTGGGCACGTGGAAGGGACTGCTCCCGGGGTGCGATGTCACAGAGACACCGGACTGACGGAACCAGGGGCGCCTGCGGGTGAGCCTGTCCCGTGCCCAGCTCGTCTTCCCAAGTGCTGCCCCACAGACCAATAGTGCAGTGGCCTCACTGGGCAACAGTCCCTAAGACCTGCTTGGAAGCTCCCCACAGCACCACTCGGGCAGCAAGACTTGCTCCCGAGAGCCTGGAGGCGCCGGCCTGACCAGGGGGCAGGTCTGCTCAGTGTGTCTGCCCGTGACCCCCCGGCCCCTCCCCCGACTTCTGCTTTCCTGGCTCATCCCACGCGGGGGTGAGGTCCCGCTCCTCCTAGGAAATAGTGGCCCCACAGTCTACACTGTGACACACAGACACAATCCCAAACTGTCGCTCCCAGGTGCTCATCAAAGTGGACATGACTTTGCTGCTTCCTTAATTCTGGACACAGCACAATCTGGTCCGGCTTTTCTTTCCTCCCCCAAATGACTACCTGTGGCCTGTTGTGGGGCCTTCCGCTCCCCTATGAACTCTGCCTCCTGCCTCACCCAGATGACCCTCCGCTTTCTGGGGACGGTGCCCTGCATCTTCCATCTGACTTTCCTTTACACCTTTCGTGGCCTTGGTTAATTCTCAAAAGCTATGAATTTCTCCAATACAAAATTTCCCTCCACTCTTAGCTCCTAAAAGAATAGGCATTAAATGAAGTTTAAGGTGGTTTGGTTGCCCTTCCTGGAGAGGAATCAAGACCTTGGAAAGAACAGACAGACAATTTGCAAAGAATGGGCCATAGTCCCACAGCTCGGAAGGACCGCCGTTCAACAGAACTTTCTGCAACGTTACAGTGTTCTGTGCTGCCAAACCCAGCAGCTACGTGCACTCGGCCATGGCTGTTGAGCGCTTGAAATGGGGTAATGTGAAGGAGGGACCGAGTTTTCATTACTTTTCGTTAATTTAAACGTAAACGTCACGGCCACGTGTGGCTAGCCGTCTTCTAGACAAAGTCACAACCCATGCGGTCTCAGATTCCTGTAGGCTCCTCACAGGGCCCCCGACTCCCTTTATTAACTCTAGAACCCTTGCTCTGCACCATAGCAGAGTGAAAGCCAGAAATCAGACGCTTTTTGCGTGTTCTTGCCTCTGACCTTGACCCACGGCCCCCAGACAGCCTCCTGCCTGCTTCCTCCCTGCCCTATCTGTGCCACTCACACCCGCACGGGACTCTTCTCCATCACTCGGACACGCCAAGCCGGTATCCCCAGTGCGGCCACTGTTCTGGCTGCCTGACAGCTGTTCCCCCAGGCCCCCAACTTTCGGACCACAGAGATCTCAACCCCATCGTCACCTCCTCAGGGAGAAGAGCCATGGCCACCCATGATACCGGGCCTTCCAGTCCAGGTCACCTACTGCCCCCTCGGTCTCTTCTTTTTATTCTAGTCATTGTCATTATTTGACATGGGTACCATTTGTCTGATTATCGGCTTATCAGCTATTTCCAGCATACATTCTACGAAGGGAAGAAACTTCGTTTGCCTTGTTCGAAGCGAGACTGTCAGCACTCAGCGGTGACACTCAGTATACACCTAGCAGCACTCATTAGGGGAGACTGGCTGATAATTCTGCCTGAGACCAGATTCAACAACGAGGTGACACGGAGTCCTACTGAAAGGATATTCCATGCCCCTCTGCTCCCAGCTCAAGAGTTTTAGAGACTCTTGGTCACTGGAAGAGAGAGAAAATATTTGCATTTGTTTCTCCTCGATCAGCACTGTGATTTGTTACTCAAAAATTACTCTAAAAGCATCAAATTTTTAAAAATTCTATGAAAAACTACACGTACTCTGATTACTGTTTTTCTTTAAAAAGTTATGCTGAAATTATTAGGGGCGGGGGGAGAGTATGCACATGTTGGTAAATGTGATGGTAAAAGTAGGCTCATTCTTTTTTTTTTTTTTAAATGTTTGTTTATTTTAAACAGAGACAGAGTGTGAGCAGGGGAGGGGCAGAGACAGAGGGAGACACAGAATCTGTGCTGAGCTGTCAGCACAGAGCCCGACGCGCGGCTCAAACTCATGAACCGTGAGCTCATGACCTGAGCCAAAGATGGTTGCCTAAGCGACTGAGCCACCAGGTGTCCCAAAAGTAGACTCATTCTTAATACGGCGAGCCCCATCAGGGCCCAGCATTTGCAGAGCGAACCCCAGTGGCTTCTGGGGCTTTCTGGGGCTGTCCCAGCTAAAAGAGTTCCATGACAAAGTCTTTCTCTGACCATGGCTTGACCTCTGGTGGGCTGCCCCCTCTGCTATTGTCACCAAGGTGATAATCGTTCCCATAAATGTTAGGTTTCCGGAAATGTATGACCTGCTTCTCTGTTAATCAGACAGATGTGTGTCTGTTTTAAATCCTCTAGACAGACACCATCCTCTCCTAAGAACTTCAAGCAAAATGTCAATGCTGTTTTAAGTCACAGTTTCACATTTTTCGAACTTGCTTGGGAGTTCCTTCGAAATCAGCAAGCTCTGGTTGGACGCGGACTTTGTCCGACTCTGAGAGAAGTTTCTCAAGCTTAGAGGGCTGTCATGACACACAATTAACGAGCGGTTGTGATGCCAACACGGTAGAAAAGAAAGAGAATTTTTAAAAAAACGGTAAAAGAGTGAGGGGCTTGCTTAGATAAGATGGGAAAGAGACCTCGCACCGCACTTCACGAGGGAAAATTAATGCTCTGTTTCCTTCAGAGCCAAAGGGGTCAGAGCTGATGCAAATCACACCCCCTCACTTCCTCCGCAGTCTTGGGGTAATAAATACCTCTACGGTCTCTATATTTTATGACAGATCCAACTAGAACTAAAGCCATGGAAATATAAATTAGCATAAAAGATGAATCACTTCCTCCTTTTATCCAGCCCCAGACATGAATTCCTTTCCTTCTCAGCCCCTGAAGTTGTACCATCGCTTGACCTTTTTAGGACCTTACCCGACAGTGGGCACTGTGCTCTGTTGCATACCTGGACCAGAAATAAGAACCGGTGTGCAAAAACTGCCTCCCGGCAGCCATCCCACGCACGGCAAACTGCAGGAGATCCCCTTCAAGTCAGAGCGTATTTACTGCTGTGTACACGTAATTCTCACAAGTTTGTCACTACATTTTAAGACATTTTTTTTTTAATTTTTTTTTAACGTTTATTTATTTTTGAGACAGAGAGAGACAGAGCATGAATGGGGGAGGGTCAGAGAGAGGGAGACACAGAATCTGAAACAGGCTCCAGGCTCTGAGCTGTCAGCACAGAGCCCGATGCGGGGCTCGAACTCACGGAGTGTGAGATCGTGACCTGAGCCGAAGTCGGCCGCTCAACCGACTGAGCCACCCAGGCGCCCCAAGACATTTTTAAATTTTATTTATTTATATTTTA